GTGGTACTACATTAATATTGAGTTTTTGGAATTGTTGCATAATTTGTTCAGACATGAATTCTCCAGCGATTGGCTGTTTGTAAATTCCTGTCGAAGATTGGATTAGAACACAAATAATAAAATTTAATTTATGTAAAAAGCGCGTCTAACCTTTTTTAAGAACGTATCCATCAACTACTGGAACACAGCTCGTAGTGCTAGCACCACAATCTAGAACAACGGCAGTTGGACGCCCTGTTGCAAATCTTTTAACAACAGATTGTCAAAGAATTTATTAATAACGAAATTTAAAAATTGTTTATTTTGAAGAAAGGATACGCTGAGAGCACCGGATTCTTTGCTACATAAAAAGCTAACACTTGGTATTTCTCAAACGCGATTTCAGTAAGTTTCTCTCTAATTTCCCTGGTGTTCCAAGCTGCTTCTGTTACGAACAGTGGATGTTCTGTTGGATCAACTTGCAGTCTCTTAAACAGTGCATGATCCCAAATTTTTTCCAGCGCGTCCCAGTCTTGTACTAAATAATATATTCATGTGAATTATGAAATGAATGATTATCGAAAGAACATGTGCATACATACCCAAACCGTTAACAAGAGGATTCCTAATTTCCATGTTGGGTCTCCATGCTGCTACTTCCGCGTCTCCTATTATGTACTTTCCTTTATCCTTTTTATTAAGGGTATTGTCAGCGAACGCGATGTTACTACTTTCGCCTCCTGTCGCGTCACCGTCTTCATTCTTCATAATAGTGTCTTCATCGATATTTGGAACTTCAGTTTCAGTTTCTGGAATATATCCATATGAAGTAGGAAAGACGGCTTTTGGAGTATCTTCACCGGCATATCCGGCACGAGTCCAGCACGAACCAACATCTAAAACTAAAGCTGAAACTTCGTCTGCCAACGGACAAATTGACAAATTGGAAAAAGTAATTACGTAAATTGAAAGTTTGCCAGTAACTTTCTGTCCGAATAAAGGTTTCGATGTTCAAGCCTGCTTGCAAATAAATGAAACTAACCTCCGCCAAAAGTAGACATTTTCCAGAAAAGAATAAGCGAAAGACGATTTATATACAGTGTATATAGTGCATATTTGATACGGATGTTGATATGTGAAATTACGCAAGCAACTATCTAATCTGTGTTACGATATCAGATATCGATATTGATATCAAAATACGTACGCACGTACGTACGTACGCACCTTTGAATTCAATATCAATTATTTTTAAGAAAGTTTAGCCATGCCAGGAGGAATACAACAAGCCTCACAACTTTGCGGAACTCTCAAGGCAGAATTTACCTCGGCCTCACCCGACCTGAATAAATGTGGTTCTTATCTAGCAAAGCTCAAGGTTTTATGTTTTCATAGTTTAAATTAATATCGCTAAAATGATATTTCAAAGTCACAGTGAAATTAACGTTGGTGATATGGTTAGATTGCTCTGTCAGAAATGCAACTTTTGCTTCCTGGAGAAGTTACTAATGCGGACGAGCTTCTTATTGCACGTATGAAAAATTTAAGTCTACGTTTTATAGTCAATATCGAATAATAATGCAAACGTCTTTGATTAGGTGAAATCTTGGAAATTGGAGCTTATTGGAGTGTTCACGTTAAGGATATACCATCCTTTGAGCGATACATAGCTCAATTGAATACATATTATACCGACTACAGGTTTGTTCATTATAAGTTCATTTACGATTGTGATCAATTGTTCCTTTATTAATTAATGTATTTTGTATTTATGAATCTGGTAAAAGCTCGCTGCTCAAACCTTCAGAACAAATGTATCCTCTAACTGGATTGAATCTTCTTCGTTTACTTTCCCAAAACCGTATTGCTGAATTTCATACTGCTTTGGAAAATATTGAACCAGAACAACTTTTAGAAAATCCTTTTATCAAACATCCAGTACATTTGGAACAATATCTCATGGAGGGAAGTTATAAAAAAGTGTGGAATTCTAGAGAACAAGTACCTGCGCCCGAGTATCTTTTCTTCATTGATATCTTAATGGGGACCATTAGGTTATTAGATTCGACTATATGTAATTGTTTGCAAATTGAAATTTTTTGATATTTACACATTGAATTTTGATAATTAGGAATGAGATCGCGAGTTGTAGTGAGAAAGCATATTCAAGCTTGCCTTTGGTCGATGCCGCAACATTACTGTTCTTTAATAATCTCAACGATGTTTTGAATTTTGCCGTTGAGGTAAGAAATAACATTTTCTTTTAAATTGCTTTTTCTTTAGTGTAAATCTTACGAATCATAATAATTTTCAGCGTGGGTGGAATGTAAATCCAGCAGAACAGAAAATATATTTCACGACGAAGGATGATAATCATGTTGAGATACCACATGCTAATATTACTAGACAAGCACTTTATTATGCGCGTGAACTGGAACAAATTGTGTGAAGAATAAATTTAATAGTCGGCCAAATAAAAAACTAACTTTTTTAATATCAGTAATTATTATTGTCGTATACGTCGCATAACAAACAATTTAAATATATGTTTTTTAATATTTTTTGGATTAACTGATATTGTATTAAATAATCCTAACTACTCTAGTCCTAATTCTAAACAATTTTGTATTATACAACTAACATGACAATGTGATGATAAAAATTTATAATAGAACTAATATACTAAAAAAATTAAGTGCTAATAGCAAAATATATAAATAAAATTTAAAGTTGCAACTTTAAATGTCTAAAGTAGCTCCTGACTAGAACTACATGCATGAAGATCGAATTTCAGGGGGCTTAATTCTAGTCAGGTGCTACTCTAACTTCAGATACGACATGTACTGTATATATTATATGTAAATTGCAAAGAACATTTGAATAAATGCATTAACCAGAGTTAGGGTTTGGGTTACACGAATTTTATTGGCTGTACTAGGTTGTTACAAATAAGCGTGAAACATGTTACAATTAGATCCTTAAGAATTTATATAAGAATTTATTTTAAAAAACAAACAACTATACGGTAGATTACCGTTTTTGAGAAACAACATACCCGGTGAATTTCACTTCTACGTAGTGAGTATTAAAACCGTCCTTTTTAAAATAAATATATTACTGTATAAATTAGTTTTTAGTTTTAGTTTGTTGATAAATAAAACTATATATTTAAAGTTCAAAAATTAATTATATATTAAACTAAAAAAATTATCTGAATTCTTACAATAGAGCAGTGATAATTATCTTTAACAAAATTCTATAAGTTTTATAAAAAAAAGCCGGCCCCCGGGTCTACGTATTTAAAAGGTTTTAAATTTATGTTATGAAAATCTAGATGCGCATTATTGTATGATCTAATCTTAACATATAATAATAAATCGTACATATCTACATTTTATTATCATTAACAAAACTTTAAGATAATTTTTATATAGAAAAGTAAATTATTATATTTTTAATATGGAAACGTTTTTATTATTAAGTTACAAGAAAGCCCTTACGATTCGCAATAAGTAGCCCTTTATACAGATCTTTCATTAATGCAAAGAAAAGAAAAATATTACATACGTACAAATGAAGCAATAATCTCTAACGGTAAGAAAAGTGTAGTAATAGTTGCGCAAAGGTATAGTAAAGATGTAAAGATGTAAAGTTAACTAATTCTAATTTAGAGGATCATTGCGCAAAACGTAATAAGGTTTACATAATCTCTACGAATAGTGAAAATGGTGAAATAAATAACGTAAATAGATCATGTGTTTTAGGGGATGCACCGCTGTGCTGATGAACAATTTTATAAAACCCTTACAATTTTTTTTTTTTTTTTTTTGATGGTTTGCTACCTAGAGTTTATTTACGATTCCTACCAAACGTACCAACGGTAGGAGTTCCAACCATATCCGAACTGAGAATAAAGGTAGCAAAAATAAATAAAAAATATTATAATAATAATTAAAATAAACCAAATTAAAATTGAAATGCATATTAGTCGCACCCATTAGCTTCAAATACGGGTAGACCACCACCTCGAAGAGGTTTAGCAATTCGGCCGAAGGGAAGTCCAGCGAGTGAAGATGTTGCTGCAGATTTTTGAGCTAGATAATTGAAAATATGAGTTAAATATTGAATATTAAATGGATATGAAATAATTATAACCTACATCTTGCTTGTTCTAATCGCTCACGTACGGCTTGTAACTGCGCCTCGAATCTATTAATCATGAAGTGCAATTAGTATAGTAATTTATAATGATAAGACATTCTTTTTCTTTTTGTAATTACTTTTGATTCTGTGTGGTAAGTTTCTCTTGTGCGTCTTGCAATAAGGCTTCCAGAGCCTGAATACGTTCATTACGTGCAAGAAGTTTCCGCTCAGCGATAGCCACTTCTTTCTTTAATGATGAATTTTGTTCAACAAGCTATATTTAAAAAATTATGAATAGTTATTATAATCACATTCCCTAATTAACATCTAAGAGATGACTATATGACTAAATAAATAAATATATATCTTACTTGTTTTTGTACATTTGTTAGTTGTTCTAAATTCCTTTCTAAAAATGCCATTTTCTTTTGTTGTGCTTTGTTATTATTGCTACGTAAAACGTTATTATATTGTTCTCGTGTCTCATCTAATGAGATTTCAAGTTCAACAACTTTTTCACATCGGTTTTGTAGATCTCGCATTAGAGCTTTTTTCATAACATCAAAATCGGCCAATTGCTGTGCCATGGTTTTGCGAATTCGCTCCATATCTTTTTCTTTATCTGCAGCAGTTTTTTGATTATCAGGCCGCACTTCCTTTTCTCTATCGTTAAGTGCATTCTGGATTTCATAATTGGCATGAGAACAACAATTAAATTCTGCTCAAACATGATTCAAATAAATATTCTCACCATCTCAGCTTTCGGAAATACTATTACCTGTAATTCTTCATTTGCTCGTTTCAAATCAGTAAGGGCACTGTCAAATAGAAGAAAATATATATAAACATTTTAAATTTGGCAGCATAAAATATTAGAAAAATTGGCGGATCAAATACACTGACCTGTTTAGTTTGTGCAGTTCTTCATTCTTTTTCTCTAGCTCTTGTTTTAACTCTTCAATTTCTTTTTGTTGTACTTCTTTCTTGGCAGTGAATTGAGCCTCAAGTTTACCCTATATAGAATATTTGGTTAATATAACATTAATGGTAATTAATCAGTTAATTGAAATAGTCTTCTGACCAATTACCTTTAATTCTGCTAATGTTTCGTTGATGTCAATGTTACTGTTTGCTTCTTCTTCAGCAATTGTTTTATCTGTAAAGATGGTGTAATAAAATATGTCAATTAGTTTAAATTCTTAGAAAATCAAATGGTCCATATTAATAAGAGATTTTGAAAAGAGTTGTTACCTAGCAATTCTTCATACTCGGTTTCTAAGGTAGACAAACGAATTTCAAATTCATCTCTTTGTCTTGTTAGACGTTCATTTTCATAGTGTAATTCATTAATGGTTTGCTCGTGCGTTGAAACTAAATTTCTTGATTCAGCCAATTCGCGACGTACTGTTGCGAGTTCTTCTATTGTAAGTGAAGCGCCACCATCACCATCGATTGATTCAAGTTTAAGTAGAGTTTCACGAATTTGTTTTTCTTTAGCAGTAATCACACCCGATGGATCAAGTTCTGCGAGCATTTGAGCCATTCTCTCGTTTTTCTTTTGTTCCTTATCACCTTCTTTTTGAGCTAACTTAAGCTCGGAAATTGATTTCTATAAATTTGTATAGGTTACAGAATAGATTACAAGAATATGAATCATTAACAAAGATATTCAAGTCTTCAAGCATAAAAAGTGATAAATATATTTCATTGAAATAAACTAACCTTAAGTTGTTCGATCTCGTTGGATAGGTCTGTATTCTGTTCACGTAAACTGTCCATTGTTATAGCACTTTCTTTATTCTCGTATGTGACTTTCTCCAACTGAAGCTTAAGTTCATTAAGCTCGCTTGTCATTTGTTTGTTTTCCTGTTGAATTTTGAATAAAATGAATCATTCGTCAAATCAACAATTTAATGTGAACAATAATGTTAACGATATATCGTACCTTACTCGTTGATTCTTCCTGTTCTTTATAAGATGCAAGTTCCTCCTTAATCTCTTCAAGAAGTTTCTCTTTGGCCGCTAATTCGGATTCTTTTTCGGCAATCTGATCAGTGAGATCATTTTCACGTTTCAAAAATTCTTCCCGTTCATCTTTTTCTAAGATTGGAGCAGGAGTGCCTGGCCTTGATTCATTTGATTCCTCTTTCTTTACACCCTCAATTTGCGGATTGGTCGCAGAAGTAGGTGTAGTTGGTGCCGCTGCAGAACCTGTAGATTTTTCCATTGAGACCCATTTTTCTTTTGGTACAGTGCCGCCAGAACGCCATACACCGACTTCTCCTTCAAGAGCTGAAATATATTGTTGGAAGCTAACAGCTTCACTCTTGGCCTTCTTGAGAAGAGCCTTAAGTTCAGCAGGACTGAGTTCGGCGTTGACTTTAGCCTTGTTCTTGATAGTTTTAGCTCTAGAAGTTGATGAAAAAGATCATGTTATATAATCATTTTAACAAATAAACTTGATCAAACGTTTACGTAAAATGTTTATTTACCTCATACCGAATCTTAGAGTACTCAAAGTTTCCGATTCGTTGAAAGAGGAGGGAGAACTGTTTATCATTAATGTTGTTCGGGAATTACCACCAAGAGATTCTTGAAGAATTCTGGTAAGTTTACTGTCTCGATATGGAATGTGTGCTGACTATAGTGAAATCAGACAAATATCCAATGATTATGACTATGAATTAACAATCATGATATTATTATTATTATTATTATTATTATTATACGTACTTTTCCGTCAGTTAAAGCGTTAATAACCATTCCCAGTGCGGACAAGGATTTATTGATCTTTTTAGCTTCTTCAAGAGTTTGACCAGAAGCACCTGTCTTACCAACCTACAGTTCCAAATGAAAAATGAGTTAACGATAATAAATTCCAGGCTGTTTGAAATTCAATACGAACCTTTTCGGAACCAGCCAAATCGACAAGCGATAGTTTACCACTCTTTACACTACCATCAGAAAGGTTCTTTTGATTGATAGTAATAACAAAAATGGAATGTGATCTGGAACTTTCAGCGTTCATGTCTGAAGAATAAAAGAATGGTAATAACGTTGTGTCAAATTAAATATATAATAATGCACATACAAAAAAAAAAAAAAAAAAAAAAAAAAATATGGAACAGCTTACTTTTGTATGCAAAAATACGGGCACTTCCACCACGTTTCATTACTTCGTACACTTCTTGTACAGAACTGACGTATACTTCCAACAGACCTTTGACATAAACACCTCTATTTTTTTCTTCATGTACAGGCAAATTATCATTTTGAGCTAGAAGGATAAAGTAGAACTTAGAGTTAATTATAATGTATAATTTTTAAGAATGCAAATGTGAAAAGAAGGTTTATACTAACGATTAAGTAAATCCCTAATTCTTTCCATATAAATTTCCATATAAGAGACTTTTACAGTGTATTCAATTGTTGGTGGGGAAACAATGATGCTGTGAAAAATTTGTTCTACAATACGAGGGATAAGACCTTTAAATTCATCATCGTCCATATTTCCCTATAAGTTCAATATAATTTTTTTATATACAAATATATCAAAATGTTAATAGTATACTCAAGGATCCATATAAACCATTTTAATTATGCCTTACCATCATAGTGTGAGTTTTACCAGAACCAGTTTGACCGTAAGCAAACACGGTTCCGTTGTAACCACTGATGACCTCTGTTCACAATATAAATCAGGATAAAATTTATTACTTTATTATAATTAAATAAAAAAATAATAAACTTGAAACTTGTTTTTTTACCATCGACAATATGTTTTATAGATTACATCATAAGAACATAATTCATTACATCGAGTTGAAGTTTAATAATTCTGGAATTCAAAATTCTTTATATTTTTATTATTCCAAGAATTAACTATAACGAATGTCACATATATATTATAACTCTGAATTATCACAAGAATTGCATTTTTAAATTATTCAATCTGCATTTTTCTACCCTATTTACTATAGGGTAAAGAATTTCAAGGAAGTTT